TATATAAATTTCTTATCGTATTTCAAAAACTTCTATAGTAATAATATTAATAAATTATATAGTTGATTAATATTATTTGTATATTTTAGATTTTTTAAAAGATTTCTGTACAGCACTTATAATAAAAAAATATACAAACTAATTTCTTCTTCCTATATTATTGTTATTCTCCATTATTTTAAGTTTTTTTTCATTTTTTTTATTTAACAAACGAGATTTTGTCAGCGTAGTGGTAGTTAATTGCTTATAACTTCGACCGGTAAAGTGCAATATGAAAGTTGTTGGATTAAAATAGATTAAACAAATATGTTGTAGAGCAAGGTGAGAACTTCAAGTTTCTCTAATAATCTACCGCATTTCTTAGAGTAGATAATCTACCTGAGCTTCCGAAAAAAGTATTGTAAAATATATAAAAAAAAATCTATAATTAATTGTGTAACAATCTACAAAATCGGGGCACTCAAGACATTCTGTCCTGTTCTCAATTACTTGTATTATTATTTTACTGAAATTTTAACGATTGATATAATAATATCTATTTTAAGAATTCTAATAATACTACATATTCTGTGAATTCTTGGAATTCTCGGAATTCTTGGAATTTTCAAAATTCGTACTATATCGAAAACCGCAGTAATTTCAGGGGTAATTTACACTTTCACAGTTTGCAATACCATATAATTAACAAACTTATATAGATCATATATATAAATTGTAATAGTAAAATTGCTGCTTCTCTTTTATTTTTAATGATAAAGATATAAAATCCAATCATATTAATACTAAAAACATAGTACAAAGTACAAGTGTATAGTTTAAATTCATTCTGATTTGATGTAGTAATCGAATTTCCCTAGATAAAAATTATATTTATAACACCAGTGTTATATAATACCTATAATAAAATATATATTTGTCTGAGTTAGAGTTGGAATTTTAGGTTAGGGTAAATATATAGTTTAATAATAGGGTGTTATATAACATGGTGTTATAAATATAACTTTTCAAAATTTTATGCCAATAGATCCTTGATCCTTATTTTTTTGTTATAGTTTGGTTTCTTATGATCCTCCACATTTTCTTTTAGATAAAATATAATAAAACCTATACTATACCGATACATACGTACATATTACTGTATTACCAGTCACATGATATCAGTTACTATATTATCATGTCATTTTGTTAATAATTACTGAGTACTAGTGTTCACTGTATAAAAGAATCTTAACCCTAACATATTTAGAGGCTAAAATATATTGTTGCCTATTGAATGATGCAGAATTATGTAGTAGGTTAAAGGTGACTAGGAATGTGTTGCATAAGACTGCTTTATTTACTATATTAAATAAACTTTTATTGTTAACTATTTAAATTTAAATAGATATAAATGCTTTAATAGTAGACGTAAATTGAAGTTTTGGTTCAAAAATTATAAAATTTATAATAAGCCCAGGATTATTTGTAGATATAATCAATTCTTTTTAAATACAACTTTAAATTCTGATTCAAGTATATGTTTGGTCTCTATAAATGCAATTTTTCTTGGTAGTTTTCTATATATTTAGTCTCTATAAATGCAATTTTTCTTAATTGTTCTCTAAATGCAGGCCATCAAAAGTCTGATCCTAGTGTTCCGACAGACCAAATTGGATGAATATTTTTAAAGATTCAGATCCGATCCGAAGAACAAATCGAATTCAAGTTAGGATTCGAAATCGTATCATTTAGATCTGGATTCGATCCAAATCTAACCAAATTCGTGAAAGATTTCTTGATAGTTTGCTCTTGTTCAAATGTGGTTATTAAAAAAAAACGCACTGGTTCAACTATATTAATTGAAAAAAAGCTAATTAAAAAAAAATCGCACTGAGTCAAATGGATTTATTAAAATTTTTTTCTAAAAAAAAACCAAATTGATGATAAATATATTAAAAAGATGGCCAAACAGAAATATCCAAGAGCAAGTGGTTAGGCCTTGAAATGCAGCCATTAATTCTAATCACTATGTGAGAAAGCATATGACGAATAATTAACTTAACTGCTTAATTTGAAACTCAATCTAATTTCTATAACGATATTAACCGTATTGTTAGAAACCAAGTATAAGAATAGGTGCGTTACAGTTAACCATCTACAAGAGACAATATTCGATCCCAAATCCTTTTACCTACATGCAATTCATCAGAATCATACTGATATATGCTGCATATTTACACCAAAATCATCTATTATGGTTTAAATATTTGGTATTATTAGCCAGATGCATTTAAATAATGCTCACATCACATTTTTCAAAAAAAAATAAAAAATAAATAAAAATAAATGCATTCACGCCATCTTGAGTATAATTGTTAGACAAAACCATATTACACAAAGGGAAAAGAATCACAAGAAATTAGACATAACTTAGCATTAGTGAATTTTAACAATAAATGGATCCGAATCAAATATGACCTAGATTCGCAAGATTCATAAATTATGATCTAAATCGAATTTGAATCTATTTTGCGAAATACTACCTATCATTTACAAGAGGCAAGATTTGTATCAGAATCCTCCTAGCCACGCGTAGTCCATCAGAATTGTACTGATGTATGCTGCATATTCACATTAAAAATCATTCAATAAGGTTTAAATATCTTGTATTATTAGATATATATGTGAGCGTATTTAAATAATATATCAAAAAAAAAATAATAAATAAAAAATAAAAAATAAACGCATTCATGTCATTTTAAATATAATTGTTAAGTGAACCATTTTATACAAATGGAAAGAAATCAGATGTATATAGCTTAGCATTAGCATTTGTAGATTTTAGTAATAAACTGGATCCGAATTGAATATTATCTGATTGAATTCCTATTTGGATTCAAATTCGTAAATTTGAAATTTGAATAGATTTGTAGAATCAAATTCTAAATCAAATTTGAATCTCATTCATTTTGCAGAATACTACTGGATCCAAATCGAATATATCTGATCGAATCTCTATTTGGATTCGGATTCGTAGGATTCGTAAATTTTGAAATTCAAATAGATTTGTCAAATCGAATTCCAAATCTGAATCTCGAATCCATTTTGTGGAACACTATCTATTTACACATAGACTGTATAATGAATTTAGATTATTATCTATGTTACAATCATAGGACTCATATTTAAAATACCTTAAATTGATCGTATTTAACTAAATCGAAAATATATATGTATAAACACATTGTCTCTTATATAATTCAGCTGATTTAGTAGAAACTAACATATTTCAGTGGTTTTACAATTTCTAATTTACACCATTGTGTTTAAAATCCAGGTCAAATTAAATTATAAATAATAGCTATTTGACACAAAAGTGCCAAGTAACTATTAAGTATAAAAATTCTTTTGTTTTTTAGATTATTTATTTCTATATCTAATCAAAAAGGTTTATAATATACTAACTATTAGTTATTCTTCCTAGTTTTAATACGACAACATCGCATAGATACCTTATTTACTGTTGATCATGTATATCACATTTCCCAATAATTTAAGTAAAAAAATCTGCATAATTTGCCAATTTGAAGTATGTTTAAGATGCATCATAATTCTAGATACCCTAATTCTAACCATTAAATGTTATATATTACATGCACATATAAATAGTATTTTAAAAATCAATCTGCATTATTTGTCATGATAATTATAATTTGATGCTCGTACGTACGTATAAATTGGGATCATGTAGTAAATTATAGGCCTCATATGACATTTACTTTACAAATTTATTATTAATCAACTTAAAAACTGGATGATCTCTATAAATAATATTTTAAAAATCTATCTGCATTTCTGCAATATATTTTATTTTGCAGTATCTAATACTATATAAGTGTGTGAGAGTGAAAACCTGTAGCTGGATATAATGTTTTACTATAATAATTTTTAGGTTTTTACTCTCACATGCTTATATTTTTTTTTTAGCAAATTTTTTTTAATTTTATTGCTACTATTTAATAGTAATTAAAAAAAAAGATTGTGAGCAATCCCTTTAAGGAAATCTATAGTTGTACGATTCAACTAATTATTAAAAACATTCATGATCTGTTTTTCCATTCAATTGTATTCTTTTTAGGTTTAGGCTTTGGTTCATCGTTAAGAATTTTTTCTACTTGAAAGTCAACATTCTGTTGTTCTTTTTAGAATTCTTTAATGATTGAGTAAACACCTACATGAGAATGACCAACTAAGATATTCTAACGACAGTACTATACCTCAACTTTATTCTGTGTATGCGGAACTCTAGCTTCAACAGAGTTGTAAACAGACTATATCTCTGGTAGAAAGAGAGATGGATTACGTAATTTATTGCCATTATTTAATAATCGTCAGATCTTTTCATATACATATGTATTATCAAACTATCATGTAACATTATCTGCAGCTGGTAGCATTTCTGTTTTTAGAACATTGAATGCAGTAGAAATTTTACCTGATAGAAGAAAAGCCAAGGCTAGTAAACACCGCAACATCAAACTTAAGTCTAGATCAGTTCCATATTGACTTACTAGCCCTAATTTTTGTATTCTTCGCCACAAACTTTTTCCAAGATGAAAAAAACAACATTTATTTGTAACACCTAAATGAATTTAAGTGGTTAGTTATTTACTTATTAGTATTTAAAAATAAAATACTATATTTATCTGGCGTGGGTATCTTCATAGCATATACCTGATTTTAAAAACTAGATACCTGGATATATATTATATTTTCTAGATTTCATACCAGATACAGTACGTACGTACATATGTACAAAATACTTAAGGTATCTATGTCTGATAAATATAGTACTATGGTACATATTATATTATAAATAAAAAATTTTTTAAATTAATAACTAATCCAGAAATATATTAGACGATGTATGAATTGCAGCTTATTCAAAATCGGTAATGATTGTTGATAAATTGAATTGAAGATCATTATCTTCTGCGAAGTCACGTAGAATTTGAAATAGTTGTTTATAAAGTGCTTCTAATTTCTTACTCATTAAAGAATATAGAAGTGAAAGAATTTGAAAATTATCATTTGCACTAACAGGTGAATAGATGGTATAAAGTTGGCAGAAAACAGTAGGGACTGTCTGAAACATGCTATTCATGACCTAATAAAGAGCTTGAGATAAATACTGCACGTTAGTTTTTGTAGTAAACACAAAGATTCTATCATTATCATTAATTTCTAAATCCTTTATTAAAAATAGGTCCCCATTTAAGGTTAAATGTAATGAGTCAAGAATATCAACCTCATCAAGAGTCTGGGGTTGTGGTAGTATTTCAGCTATTCTAACACGTTTAATCCTCATTCGAAATGCCTCTGGCATGGGCATATAAGGTGAAAGATTTTTTGAAATAGTGGAAATATTATTTTGAATTATTTTAGAAGATATATCTTGTATATCACAAGCTTGTTGTTTGATACAAGCAACAACTTGTGCAATCTCACCACTGTCGGTTTGAGAAGCATGATCGTGATCATCAGTTTTTTTAGATAATATGAACTATTTAAGAAAATAGTAATTGCTCGAGTTTTGCAGTACTCTGGCTCTGACTTTTTTTATTACATGACCAATAATAAGTATTTTTATGTGCATAATCTTTTACAAACAAGTGATCATCTATTATTAATTTTGGATTTCTTTTTTGTGACGTGACAAGTTGACAAAGTTTATTCATATTGTAACAATAATAAAGGTAAAGTTGGCATGAATTTAGAAGATATGAATTTTTTTTTTTAAAAAAATATAAATATATATTACTGTAAATTTATTTATATAATATTTATTATATTACAATAAAATGGTGAAATCTGACGAAACCATAAGCTTCGTCAAGTTTTATCAATAACAAAACTTGAAAATTATAGTTTTATTAGGTTTAATGATTATATATATATACAAGTAATAATAATGAATAAATGGTATAAAAATTAGATAATTAAAAAATTTCATTGTTTAATAAATGAAAAGACTTTAATTTGTAAAATTTATAATATACAAGAAGCTGAAAAACAAAAACTTATCTATTACTGTTATGAACCAAATATCACCCAAAATTCAGTTATGATTTAAGCTCAATTAATTTTATAATTTAGATTATTCAATACGATTTTTTTAATTTACTTATACATAATAAAATTACTTGACATCATATATATATCTATCCAAATTGAATCAAGAATGTTTATCAAAAATAAAATATTTTCAAAACATAGTTACTATATATTCTTGATTTAATTTTATTTAATAACTCTTGATTAAGCAAACCTATTTAGTAACATTATGTTTCAGAGTTGTTTAGTTTGAATTTAGTGATTTTATTATCATTGATTCTATCATTGGATGCCTTTACTAGTTATTGAAATCAAAAAGAATTAATTTATTATCAAGTCTGCTAATATATGATATTGGTAAAATAGACATCTGGATTGTTATAAAAGAGGAACTGGCACTGAAAAGATGAATATAAAGTATTCATGGATTATCAAAAATCTAGGGATGCTAATAGAATATATAATATTAGATATTTTTATTAAAACAGAATTGGAGTTGAAAAGGATAAACATAATGGATTATCAAGAACCTATATAATGTTAGATATCTTTAATAAGATAGAATTAGAGTTTAAAAAGAATGAATGTGAGTATATTCATAGATTATCAAATTTTGCGGAAATTTGGTTAGAAGGTAACTCACATAGGCACAGAGAGTTTAAATAGGTAACCCCCTAGTCGGGTTGCAGGTATGACATCTAG